GTCAGATGAACGGCCAAATGTGTGTATTTTCTCTGCAGCTTTGATGCTATGTCCTGCCTTTTAGGTTCTGGGGGAGCCCCATCTGTGCTCACACGCTGGCCAGCCAGTCTCGGTGGCAGCTCTACCACGTGGCTTTTCATTTTTCTATTTTTATAGAATTAATGATTTTTATTTCAAGTTAATGTGATGCTAAAGAGTGTGAAGATTGTGTGTCAAGCTATCATCTAGGAAAGCAGAATGTTTTTAAGTGGATAGGTTTTCTGTCATTTAAAAATACATTTTGATAGACTCTGGGTCATAAGAGGACAGAAATATTAGAAGACTTTGACCTAGCAATTCCACTTCTGAGATTATATCTGAAGAAACCCAAAATACTGATTCAAAAGAATACATGCACCTCTATATTCATTGCGGCACTATTCACAATAGCCAAGATTTGGAAGCATGAATAGATGCTTGAATAGATGCCCATGAATAGATGCTTGGAAAAGAAAGCTGTAGTACATTAAATGGAATACTACTTGGCTGTAAAAAAAGAAGGAAATCTTAACCTTTCACAATTGCATTGATGGGCCTGGAGAGAACTATACTAAGTAAAATAAGCCAGTCAGAGAAAGACAAATACTGTGTGATTTCACTCATGGGTGGAATCTCATAAACAAAATAGCAACAGACTCATAGAGACAGAGAACAGACTGACAGCTGTCAGATGGGACGGAGGCCAGGGGGGTTGGGTGAAATAGGTGAAGGGATAAAGCCAAAAAAAAAAACACCCCAAAATAAATCAAAACAAAACTCACGGAATCAGACAACAGGATGGTGGGTACCAGAGGGAAGGTGGGCAGGAGGCAGAGGGTAAACGGGACAAATGGTGATGGAAGGAGACTAGACTCCGGGTGGTGGGGGCACAATGCAGTGTGCATACAGTGTATAGTGAATTGTGCACTCGAACCCTATATACTTTTATTCACCAATGTAACCCCAATAAATTCAATTAAAAAAAGAAGACTTTGAAAGAGGCTGCAAAACTCAGGGTCCTAATTGCCGAGTAGCAAACTGCATCCCCGGCATCTGTTTGCCCCCCAGGGTCCTCTCTAACCCTGGGTTTCCTTATCTTTAAAACAGGGGCATGGGGTAGATATTGCCAGAGTCACAGGCTCTGAAATTCTTTTGACTCAAACATTTCTGATCAATTCTAACATAGCTTTTGTTCTGACTAATTCACCAGGGGTGCCTGCCCAGTGCCAACTGTTGAGTTTGTTGGTCTCTGACTTCCGCTGTCAGTGAATTGAAATGATGCTATCTTTTATATTTTGATCACCTGCAGATTGCGTTTCAAAGGGAGAATGTGACGGACATTTTTCTTCCACATCCTGTGAATAGAGAGCTTTATTGTTAACGAAGAGAACTGAGCTGTAGTAGGTTTCTTTGGCGGGAGGGCCACAGGCCTTCCTGCTGCAATAACCCCTGACTGACAGCCCCACAGCCAGCATCCAGCCTCAACTGCGGTCAGGAGCACAGACACTGTGTGTAGGTTTATGGAAGGGATGTCTGGAGCGGGGAACAGCTGCTGGGGTTGCACGAGAAAGGCCCAGCTGTGCAGTGGAACATTGCGGTTGGGACCAACAGATAGCCAGGATCGAGGATGAGAGAGAAAAAAATGCATTCATATTCAGCCCACTGTACCCCAGGTGGGAATGTAAATGGGAGGTTCCAAGTCCATGTTTCACAGGGGGGAAAGGTTCTCCTTTCCTCTGGTTCAAGGATATTTGATAACACCGCACTTAATATATTGTGGCATGGCTGTGGTTACTTCCCTGGGTGGGGGGGTAGGGAGTAGTTGAAAATAATGATGAACTTGGGCTTACAGTGGTCTGAAGAGAGTGAGATTTCTTCAAATTGGTCACTGACAAGTCTGATCTCTCCCGAGGGCCTTCAACAATGCCTCCTCTGTCATCACTCAGGCCAGCTGGGCTGGGAACTGTGCGTGTCGCCCTGTGTGTGAATGCCGTCTGTGCCCTGCGATGCCACGTTCTTCGGCAGCCCTTCCTGGCTCACACATGGGTTGCCCCCACTGCTCTTTTAATTGTCCAGAGGCTGGAGAACTTTGGCTGCCCTGCTGGATAACCTGTCTGTCATGTGTGAACTGACATAAATGAATTACCCTGTAGAAGCCAAGAATGCCCAACCTTATGGGATGAATAATCTGTATGACATGTGTTGGAAACGTCCCTGGTACTTGATGAGTTCTCAGTGAGCAGCTGTCAGGTTCTGTGGCTCGCTGGGGGAAAGCATTTCATAGGAAAATGAGATTGATTTTATGAATTGAATAGGAAACAGTTCCTGTCTACAAAGTTTATCTGGCATAATAAGGAAAAGGTTCCTGAGAAAATTCACTGATCACTGTGAGCCTTACACTCAGGGACTCAGCACGCGCAGCTCCAGGGGGTGCCACGCACATCATTTACGCCGCCAGCCCGCCTTTGATTCCCTTAGTAATTCTCCGTGCCCTTGAGGACATTGTCTGGTGTCCTGTGTTAGAACAGGGAGAGGGAGCTGGCTGGCTGCAGACAGTGGGCCAAAGGTTCCTGCTCTTCTTCCTTCCTCCATGGAACTGACTAACCAGAATACTCTCTGAATTATATGTGTTATTAAAGTATCTGATCAAAGAGGCAGTTTACAAGCAACTGTTATAAAAACTCTGTTAAATTTATGTAGATGACATTGGTTAATGAAAGTCCATGGGTTTCAAGTGTACAGTTCTGTACCACATCGTCTGTATATCCCACTGCGTGCTCACCACCCAAAGTCAAGTCGTCTCCTTCGTCACCGTATGTGGACCCGTTACCCCTCCTTACCTCCCCCCACCCCCTTCCTTCTGGTAGCCATCATGCTGTTATCTGTGTCTGTGAGTTTTTGTTTGTTTGTCTTGTTTGTTGCTTTCAGTTTATATCCCACATATGGGTGAAATCATATGGCTCTTGACTTTTTCGGTCTGACTTATTTTGCTTAGCATGATATTCTCTGGGTCCCTCCATGTTGTCACAAATGGCAGTATTTTATCTTATGGCTGGGTAGTGTGCCATTGTACGAGTATGCGTGTGTCACATTACAAGCAACTCCTGCTAAGTGCCTTGGATAAACCTTCTGTCACACAACTGAGCAGGACAGAAAAAGGAGTCCTTCGGGAATGGCACGGTTTCAACCAAATTTAACTTGATACCAAGGGCTGCTTAGCAATACCCATCTGGCTAGCACTGAGTGCCTAGGTGTATATTATGGTAAATGAATTAAAACTGGCAGCTTGTAGCCTTTGGCTGGTGTTCTGTTAAGACTCCTTTTAAATCCTGGAGACGATGCACAGAGCCGGGAGTAATCAAGATAACACCAGAGACACCAGTGCTGGTAGAGGAAGCTCTCACACTGATTCCGACAGAACCATTTTGAACCCGTTAGTCCTTCCTTTTATGTTGCTATTCACCAGATTGCTCAGCCTAGTGAAGCTGTTTTTTCTATTTAAAACGATTCCTTTATAGAAAATTTGTATTTTCTTTGGTTAAAAAATGATGTGCCCTAGGAGGACATGATTTGGCATGTAGAAGCACTCACCACTGTTCTCATTCAGCATTTTTATCAGCGACTGGGGCTGTGGTTGAAAGAAACACAACCTCGGGGGGGGGCAGGGTTGGGGAGATAACTGATGACAGTCCACATTCAGAAAATATTCGTACGAGATGACATGGGAAAGTCAGGCTGGTAATATTTTAATTAACACGGCTCTGTCATGTTGTGAGTTTACAGTTTTAAAAAGGCAACTGAAAATGGAGATGACTTGTTTTGACAAAAACTTCCTAGGGGCTGTAGTTGAGCACAGATGTGATGCTCTGACCATGGGAAGTTAAGGAAAGTTAACTTAAATCACGTTTAGTAGATTTAAGGCAAGTTAGTGACCTGTTAATTTAGAATCCCATTTCCTGGAGATAACAGTCCCTTTGTGTTCTGTGTGGGAGATTCTTTTTTTTTAATTATTATTTTAAAAATTTTATTGATTTTAGAGAGGGGGAGAGAGTCAGGCAGACAAACATTGATTTGTTATTATGAATTATTCATGAATTCACTTATTTATGAGTTCATTGGTTGATTCTTATATGTGGCCTGACCAGGGATCAAACCCACAACCATGGCATATCGGGACAAAACTCTAACCTGCCGAGGTACCTGGCCAGGGCATGGGTGAGAAGTTCTTGCGTGGGCCCTATGCACTACATTTGGTGCTGCCAATCCGGAAGGTTTCCAGTGTAGGGATGTGGAAGCAGTGTGACCAGAGGTCAGGAAATTGTGCCCTATTAGGAGCAGTTTGAAGGACCGGAGCTTGATTTTCTATGAAGTTAAGGGAGGCAGGACTGCTATTAGAACACTTCTGTGTGGTTGCCAAGAGGAAGACGGAATAGGCTTCTATTGTTTGGTCCCTGAGGATAGTCCTCGACTGGCGTTGGGACTGGGGTGGGACAGTCCCTTCCAGTAAGTAACCAAGTGCATCTAGCCATTCAGCAGAGGTGGCAGAATTCATCCCTGTGCATCAGAAAATAGTCAGGCTTTGCGAGAGCACTCGAATCTAGCGTTGGCTTAGATCCTTTCAACAGTTAAGCTTCTATGATTCCGTAAAAGTGCCAGCTCCTCTTGGTTCTTTTCAAAATGTATTTATTCAGAGAGACAGAATGGTGGAAGAAAGGCATCTCTTTCCTGTAGGACAGGTCACAGAAGATACAATAACTGCTTGTTTCTGACGAGAGCTGAAAACACTCTGGAAATTTCTCCAAACATGGCTTTTGTTTCTTCTTTACTGCAAGCCTGTCAGGACTATGGATTCCTTATTCTTTTCTTTGGTTTTGTGTTTTACTTGAGTGGGCTGAATACCAGTGATTATTATATGCAAAAAGGATTGCTGCTATTTTTTTTCTTGATGTGAAAGCTAAGCCTTGTTTTTCTCTTCTTGGCAGGAATTGTGCTTTTCTTTGGAGGAAATCATAAATCAGGATTGAAGGGAAAAAGCTGTTTGAACTCAACTCTTCTCCCTTTCTCTAAGGAGTGACAGTCCCGGGACAGTGAGATAGCTCTGCAAGGCGGAGGTGCAGCCTTTCACCTATCAGCAGGCCTGTTCTTCCTCGGACTCAGGTCCTTTTTAGAAATCCGAAGGTTGGGGGTGGGGGGGAACGTCCCTGTTTAATGTTAATTGTCCTGATCCTACTGGCAAGTGTACTTCTTTTAAGTGTGTTGGGCACCATTTTACATAAAACTATGAAGAGCTCACTGAAACCATAGCCTTCTAGTTGAAAGAGGCTGTGCCCTGGGCGGCGGGGGGAGGGGGAAACCCGTTATTTGTCAACATTGAACTTACATTCAGTGTTTCGAACTTAAATTGTGAAATTTAGGCTGGACTTTGAGTAATGATTACAGAATATTCTGAAGGTAGCAATTAGCCCGTTGAATAAAAGTGCTTCCTGAACACATCTATTGCTTTTGGAATATTTTTTGGTGTAATAAGGTGCTGGCTTTGAGTCGTCCTGTTGTGGTTGATATGCTAGTTCCAAGATCTGCTGGAGAAATTGCAGATCTAGTGCAGGTTTCTGATTTCCTGCATGCCTGCCTGTCAGGTTTCTGTCCAGTGGCTAATAGGGCCACTTCCTGGCCACCTGGGAGCAACAAAGAGCATTCACTTTCATTTCTGTATTTTAATGCAGCACATATATATTGAAAGACAAAAAACTGGATGAGACTTAATCTTTAACAATGTTTTCATTCTTCACCAGTGATAATATTTGTTATCATAAAGTGAAAAAGTCTGGGATATCATCAAAGAGAAGTTACTATGGTAATGTTCAGAAAATGGATAAAAGACCAGCTGTGGTGGGTTTAGTTTGCATTACTAACGATCCAGATTTTGTGAAAGATTTGGTAGAGGTTGCGTTTACAGTCGTTAGGAATTAAAAAATGGAGTCTCATGTTTATCATTTCTTTCTCCTAAGCATTGAGTGCAAATCTACTCATACATTAGGATTGTTGGCATTTACTGCAGGAACAGGAAACCCCCACCGTGCTTTGCTGTTGGCAGCCTGGACTCGTCCTGTGATAGGGTTTTCTTCTTGTAGCTACTTTAGGCAGACTGAGCCCTAGCATCTGTCATTGACCAGGAGAGAGCAAGTTGGAAGATTGACTACAGAATTACTCATAAACCATCTAACCTCCCTGTCTCAGATTTCAAACTGGTTACCTCTTGGAATTATTGGATTGTTGGAAGCTAATAAATTAACCTGTGTAGGTCTGCATTTCTAAGAAGAGTGATTATTTTACATTTGCTCCAGAACATTTACTTGGAGAGAGAAGGAGAGGATTAAGTGTCTTGAAATTTCAATAAAGACTCCCTTTAGATCTCCCCTGAACTGCACCCCTCCACCCCCCAAAAAAGCCACTTTGAAAAAGGGCTAACAGAATTGTTCAAATTTCATTTGTTTAATTTCAAAATCTGGAATTGCATGGAGCCCTCTTATTTGATAATCCTCCATGACTGGCTTCCTCAGTATTTCAGGAAAAAGAAGAGAGAGTCTGCTCTAGAAATCTCTTACAGCCTGAGTTATTTTTAAATTAATGAAGGAAAAATGTTCTCTCCTCTGGCTACCTTTTTTTTTGTATCAAATTAAAGTTTTTAGGAGTGACATGAAAAGTTTAAAATGTGAAGGTATTTGTCAAGTACCTGAAATATATGGTATAGATGTTTACGTGGGGAGACTTACTACTTACTGTCTTTTGAATATCAGTTTCTTCACTTGTGTTAATTTTACTGTTAGTTCAGATTGTACGTTTCCCACTCTGTAGATGTATTATATTCTGTGTAAGTGCTAAATGCCCCTTACAGGTGTTATGTGAGAAAGGAATGGTGAGGATTTTATTGGGGACACACCTGGAATTACTGGAATGTGAACTGCTTCCTTGTGCTTCCAAGTCCTCAAAATGTTCTCTTTCCCTTACAGATTCTAAATAGATTCTCTGATTTTGTTTGTTTTCTGATAATCCTGGGAGCTGAAAAACACTGTTTCTCATTTGTTTGAAGGGATCTCATTTTATCTGAAGCTCTATTCCTTTATTTCCCGGAGTCAGTTCTTTTCTTAAACGTGGCCTTACCATACCCCATAGGATTTCAGTGATGCAGGGGGTGTGTTTGAATGGAAGTTGACTCTTGAAATTGAAATATTTTGGAATAAAATTATTAGTTATTTTATAACTCCTTTATTAGTGAGTTCACATAGTTTGTTTCTCATACCTTTTTCTTTTTCCTAAAGACGTTCCAGATTTTTATAAGATTCTTTGGTGTGTAGCACCCATAACTGTGATTTTAAATAACCAGGGGTACTTCCAGGAATTAGATCATACCAGCAAGATGAGAGTGCTTATTTTCATTTTATCTCCGTTCTTCCCAGAGTGGGCAGCACAGAAAAGTGGGAATATGCAGTTACACAGACTACTATACAGTACGTATCACACACACTATCCTAGATAGGTCAGGAAATAAATACCTTACTTACTTTTTGAGGATGGTTGGGGAAATGAGGTTCAATATAGGTCCACTCCTTTACCGCCTGCCACCCCCTCACACAGCAGTGCACACACACACACACACACACACACACGCTACTTGGGCTTGAGTAAGACCTATGCATTATGTATGTGTTTCACCTTTTGCAAAACAGGCGTACAAAGGGGCACGTGTCCAGCGCACTGCAGCACCCTAATTAGGAAGCTGTGTTATGGTAAAGTCTTACTGGCATCACCAGAAAGAATAAGGTTAAACTTAATTAACCTGAACTTACCAGTTACCTATGTTCCTGGACATAACTCATAGTCATAAGAACAATTTTAAGCATCAAGTATGTATGAAATTCTCATTAATGCTAAATCCTAATAACAGCTTGTATTAGCTTAGTTTCTTTGTTTAAAAAATACAACACACTTTTTTTTTTTATAAGATTTTCTCAGGCTTCCTGAGGCTTGAGGAATGTGATGGTTCAAGGGAAAAAAAAGCCAACCCAGTGACACAGTACCAGAACTCTGTTATTTTACAATTGGATCACTGGGGTACCTATGATATTTGAAAACCTAATTATAGTTATACCTCATGGAATAATTATAAGCTCCTCTTCTTCCAGACACAAAAATTAAATGGTGAAATTTCTATGCACATACACAGCACCAGTGTGGCACAAACCCTGCTATTTTCCTACATGAAAAATAGATGTAACTGGGCCAAGTTGACATTCTAGAGAGGACACATCGACTAGGAGTTGATAAAGCTGTTTATTCCTCCCTCTCAGAAAACAAAATGCTGTAATTGTCATCTAAACTAGAATCTGAAGGCGAGCAGCTGAGGCTTTTCTTAATGATAAAATGAAGTCTATGTAGTGTTCTTCATCTGTGGAGAGAGGTTGTATTGACAGGTAAATATTACAAGTGCAAAACTATATTTTTCAGTATTTGCTCAAGGAAATTTGTCCTTGTGTAAAATACATTATAGCTTTTTTATTTGAAAATTCTAAAGCTTTTCCCCTTTCTTCTCAAACGGTAGTCAATAATACTGTATTTTTAAATCCACATTATTGGCTGGTTTAGACCTTGACTGAAAAACTTTAGAGGAATAAAGGATTCCAATTTGCTTGAGCAGAGATGAGTTCACAAACAAGTTTAATTCATTCAGGAATGAGTTAAATGCAGAATAAATCTATTTGTTTTGTTTGTTTGGATTTGGTGTCCTTCACTGCCAAACCCTCATGGATTCTGTGAGTTTGGGCTATGGTAATTAAGTAGATTGGACTGGTATTGCCTTTGAGGGAGACTTGCCAATGGTACATGAAAAGTCCAGCTTAGCAGGTGATTTGCATCCGGCTCATGCTACAAATTGCTAGCACATTTTAGCTGTTTCCTAATGCAGGCCTGGCCTGATCAGTTGGAGGTGATACTGACAGATACCACTTTTTGGGCGTTTACCGTGTACTCAGTATTGTGCAAATGCTTTCCTTACATCAAAGCAGCCAGACGAGGTGGGCATTAATACCTCCATTTTAAGCTAAGTGCATTGGGCAACTTGAATGGGCACAAAGCCAGTGACCCGGTCCAGCCTTCCACATCCAGAGCCCATAAACCTGACCATCCTCTCTCCGTAGGAGCGCTGGTAGGTTCACTTTTGTGCAGTTGAAAACTAACTTGATATCCTGTGCACCAAACCCTTTTAAATAATAAGTAAAAGTGGAAAACAGAATCTCATAAATAATCTCATTATGAAGAAGTTGTTATTGCTAGATAATGGCGTTTTGAACTTTAATTCTTTATGGGTAAACTATGTCATTTTTATTGAATATATTTGACATACAGCACTGTAAGTTTAAGTTTTACAGTGTGTTAATTTGATACATTTACATATTGTAATATGATCACCGTTGTAGTGGTGATATTTAGCACCTCTATCATATTACATAATTATCCTTTCTTTTTAGTGGTTGACATAATTTTTAGTCTCTTAGCAAGTTTGACGATTATAGCACAATATTGTCAATACTCATATTACTGTGCATTGGCTCTCTATTTCATCTCTAGATGCTGTCTTGTTGCAAGTTTGTACCCTTAATACCAATCCCCTCCGACCCCTCCATGCCGTTTTTCTTGTACGCAGGACCCTCAGAGAGCTTCTTATCTTCCTCAGAATGAAATCACATTCCAACTCTTTCAAGTGACACAGAAGTCCTGCACCATCTCCCGACCCCGCCTTCTTTAGCCTTTCCTCCCGCTCCTCCCCACCTTCTCCACCCCGCTCCACCCACACTGCCTGCTGGCTGTTCCTCTAGTTCTCCAAGCACACTCTTGCCCCCTGGCATTCTCACTTGCTGGGACACTTTCCTCCAGAGAACTGAGGGGCAGTCCCTCCTTGCCTCCAGGGCCTTGCTCTGATGTCTCCACAGCCGTGCAGCGCTCCCTGACCAGCCTGTGTAAAACAACAGCCCTCCTCTCTGAGCTCTCGCTTTCCTTACTTTGCCTTGTTATCTCCACAGCACTATTCACTCTCTTATATTTTCACTTGTTTATTTCTATATTTGCTGTTTCTAGGCAGGGACTTTGTTTTGTTTATTGCT